TATAGGATATAAAATGGATAATTTTGATTATATTAAATTAAAAAGATTTTGTACAAAGAAAACCAATGTAACCAAGATTAGAAGGAAAGCAGAAAAGTGGGGAATAATCTTTACTGCATCTCTCACAAAAGCCTCATTTCTCAAAAATATAGAGAAAGGAGTCAAATTTATAAGAATATAAGTGATTTCCTAATTGATAAATGGTCAAAGGATATGAACAGGTAGTTTTCAGATGAAGAAATCAGAGCTATTTATAGACATATGAAAAAAAATTCTAAATTACTACTGATTAGAGAAATGCAAATTGAAAAAACTCTGAAGTACTACCTTAGGTTGGCTAATATGACAGAGAAGGAAAATTATAAATGTGGAGAGGATGTGGGAAAAATGGGACACTAATGCACTGTTGGTGGAATTGCGAACTGATCCAACCATTCTGGAGAGCAATTTGGAATTATGCCCAAAGGGCTTAAAAAACTGTGCATACCTTTTGATACAACAATATCACTACTAGGTGTGTGTCCCAAATAAATTAAAAAAGAGACAGAGAGAAAAGAGCATATTTCTATAAATATATTCATAACCAGTTCTTTTTGTTGTGGCAAAAATTATTGAAGGGATGGCCATTAATTAAGGAATGGTTGAATAAGTTGTGGTATATGATTGTGATGGAATACTACTGTATCATATGAAATGATGAGCAGGATGATTTCAGAAAAACCTGTAAAGACTTGTATGGTCTGATGCTGAGTGAAGTGAGCAGAACCAGGAGAACATTGTACACAATAACAGAATAACAGTAATATTTTACAATGATCAACTATGAATGACTTAGCTATTCTCATACAATGATCCAAGACAGTTCCAAAAGACTCATGATGAAAAATGTTATCCACCTCCAGAGAAAGAACTGATGAAGTCTGGATGCAGATCCAAACATACCATTTTTCACTTTTTTTTCATAGCTTCTTTTTTTGGGGGGGGGGCTTGTGCTTTCTTTTACAACACAACTAATATGGAAATATGTTTTTCATGATTACACATGTATAACCTATATCAAATTGCTTACTGTTTCAGGGAGATAGGAGGCAAGGGAGGGATGGAGAGAACTGGGATGTCAAAAAAATTTTTTTTACTTTTTTTATTAATTTATTTTGAATTATCAACAATCACTTCCATAAGTTTTTGAGTTTTAAATTTTTCTCCCCCTTCCTCCCCACCTCCCTCCTCAAGACAGCACACAATCTGATATAGGCTATACATATACATTCCTACTAAACATATTTTTACATTAATGATGTTGTAAGTAAGAATTAGAACCAATAGGAGGAACCACCAGAAAGAGGAAACAAAACACAACAGAAGAAAAAAAAATAGCAAATAGTATGCTTTGATCTGCATTTAAACTCCATAGTTCTTTCTTTGTGGATAGCATTTTTCATCATGAGGCCTTTGGAGATGTCTTAGATCCTTGTACTGCTGAGAAGGGTTAAGTTTATCAATATTAATCATCGCACAATGTGGCTGTTATTGTGTACAACGTTCTCCTGGTTCTGCTCACTTCACTTGGCATCAGACCATACAAGTCTTTCCAGGTTTTTCTGAAGTCAGCCTGTTCATCATTTCTTATAGCTCAATAGTATTCCATTACATTCATACACCACAACTTGGTCAGCCATTCCCCAATTAATAGGCATCCCCTCAATTTCCAATTCTTTGCCACCACAGAAAGAGCTGCTATAAATATTTTTGTACATGTGAGTCCTTTTCCCATTTGTATGATCTCTCTGGGATATAGCCCTAGGAGTGCTATTGCTGGGTCAAAAGGTATGTGTATTTTTATAGCCCTTTGGGCATAGTTCCAAATTACTCTCCAAAATGTTTGGATCATTTCACAACTCCACCAACAGTGCATTAGTGTTCCAATTTCCCTACATCTTCTCCAACATTTATCATTTTCTTACTTTGTCATCTTGGCCAATCTGATAGGTGTGATGTGGTACCTCAGAGTTGTTTTGATTTGCATTTCTCTAATTAATAGTTATTTAGAGCATTTTTTCAGATGACTATAGATGGCTTTAATTTCTTCATCTGAGAACTGCCTGTTCATATCCTTTGACCATTTATCAATTGGGGAATCAAAAAATTTTTAAAAGAACATTAACACTGGTTTTTATATGTAATGAAGAAAAATATTAAATATATGTTAACATATTGAATTATAAAATAATAAAAAAACACCTCTGGATTTTTTAGTTTCCAGCCCATTGCTTATTGTTCAATAAACTTCAAATTATTTATGTGCTCACTGACATGGGTACTCTCTATAGTAATGTGATCATAATTAATCCATTCTTGTCTATGCTACATGACATACATCTATGTCCTGTCACAAATCCATCACAGGAGTCCACCCAACATTCTGAGAGCCTTCTTAGAATTCTCTTGACATTAAATAGAAACCAAAGGAGCACATAGTTTGTTTAACAATTATTTTTCACTATCACTATGTGATTGACCCATCTTTTTTCCTGACCATCCGTTTCTCTGATGTCATCCTTTATGCTGCTACTTCTAAGTAATTACTCATTTGTACTGTGTTGTAGCCTATTCACATTTATTTCCTCCATTTCCCTCAGCTTCAGTTCTTTAGAGACTACTGACTTCGTTACCTGCAACCAAACAACATAAAAGGAAGAACAATAAAAAAAGCTGGATCTTTGCTTCTGAGTAAACCTTAGGGTAATAAAAAGAGCTATACAATTTTATTTTTTTTGGCAATCATCTTTTTTATTATACTGTGTTAATGAAATACCTGTTTTATTCCATAAATTAAAAATAAAATAAATAAAACATTTTTTGAAAAGAAAGAAAGACTTGGGAACTGTGTGATCAGTTCAATGACCAACCATGTTTACAGAAGACTCATGATGAAACACATTACTCACTTTCATGACAAAGAAGTGACAGACACAGAGTGCTGACTAAAACAGATTTTTTTTTAGGGAGCTAGGCATGAGTAATACTAGAATTTGTTTTGCTTGACTCTCCATGTTTGCAGCAGAGACTGTTTTTCTTTCTTTATTAATGGGGATGAAGAATTGGGGGAGGTAGGAAGGAAAAAACAATTTTCTAAAGGCTATCCGGTCCACTGTCCTCCTGTAAAAACTCAGCAGTTTACATAATGAGAATAAAATATTATGTTTACTTTTTTTAGATATATCTGAAAAGATAGTTCTAGTTCATGGAGTGTCTGCAAAGTATTTACTTATTAATAGAAGACTATTATAAAGCAGTTCAGTAATGATGTTTGAAATAACAATGGAAAGGAAAGGAGTTCTAATATTTCAAAAGTAACACTGACTTTCAATTATCTTCATAAAGATTATTCTGGTAAAATTTAAAATTGCAAGCTAGTTTCCTTTAGCCACCTGGCACACATCTGGGATTCCTTCCCTACTATCCATTTTGGGGAACAAATTAATTTCATAACTAATTCAGACTAAGCAAAATATAACTTGGAGGATAATTTAGGGTAAAAGGGGGAATGGTGTCTGTACTGCCTTCAGAAAAAATGAATATTAAAAATAACTCATTTATTTAACATTTTAGAGTTTAAAAAGCACTTTCCTACAACAACTGTATGAATTTAGAATGAGAAGATTTAATTGCAGAAGGGACTTTCTAGAAGTTATCTAGTCTAAACCCTCTTGGTTTACAGATGAAGAGCTAATGCTGACAGAAGTTGATTTGGCCAAAGTGATAGTAGCAGAGGCAGAATTTCAAACTAAGTTCAGATGCAGAAAGGTTGAGTCATACAGATACTTTAGGAGTTACAGCCAGGGACACAGCATGGTCAAGTAGAAAGATCTAGTAGCAAAGGGATGAGTTTAAGCTCCAGCTTCCCCATCAAGAAATACAATGACTAATTGTGGGACCTAAGCAAGTTATTCAACTTTTCTGGGCTTTCATTTCTTTATCTATAAAATGAAAGGATTGGGCTAGAAGACTTCTAGGAGCTCAAAAAGTCTATGTTTCTTTGACTTACCTAAGGTCATACAGCTAATCATAATGACATTTCTATAGCTGTCAGGTCTGCAAAGAGCTTTATAGACATTATCTATCTCATAAGCCCTCGAGGAAGGATTCAAGACCTCATTTCTGGCCTTTAAAGTCCTGTGGCTCTTTTCACTGTTCTAGGCTGTCTAGTTCAAAGGTATAAAATTCACCCTTTCCAGTGCTCACAGCCTTCATGGTCCTTAAATTCCCTAGTGCCAGTAAATCAGATTAAAATGTAATTGGGAAATGTTTAACAAAATACATGAAAATACAATACAACATATAAGATGTTAATTTGTGGTTTTCTAAGTTAATATGCAGCTTGCAGGGATCTGTTTCTATTTGAATTTGATACTATTGGTCTAGCTCAGTATCACAATTTCATAGCTCACCCTAAAAAATACAACAACCTCCCTTTGCCTATGATTGGGAGAGAAAGAGCATGTATTTAGCCTGAAGAATAGCCTAACTCTAGCGTATAACTTCAAAATAAAAGCTTTAGTTACTTTTCCTTTCTGTTATAGATCTGGACAAGAAGGATCAAGCTGATTATTTACCATTTTTTATACACTAAGGAATTACACAAAGAGGGAATAACTCATCTAAGGAAAAAAATCTGGATCAGCATATATGATAAGGACAGAGATAAATATATCTGATCACACACACACACACACACACACACACACACCCCCACCCACCATCTGATCACCAAACTGGTAATCACAGAAGTAGCACTTAAGTTATAGGACTTGACAATGGAAGGTTAACAGTCTAACCTTGAGACAGCAATCTGTCCGTAGGTATAGTCTTTTGCAGGGTACCATCAAAAATTCATAGCCACCAGAATGAACAGAAATATCTTACTATGCTAAGCATTTTCAAACCTGTTAATATATGTGCTATTAGTCTTTTTTTTCTAGCGGCAAAATGATACTTACTGTGTACAAGGAAACAAAAATCTTTCCACATCAGCAGCAAGGTGAGCTTTGTAAAGCCTTCGGCATCATACTCCACCACTCCTCTAAGAAACGAAAATACATATAACAATAAGTATAAAGTGTGAAGGACTTGGAACCATATGAAAGATTAAATTAATTCTTTTAAACTATTAAACGAATTATACTCTTACTTTTCCAAAATTCACTTTAATACACTAAATTTCACAGTGGTAGTTTCATTACAAAGGGAGTTTCTGAAGTTGTGTTCTAGTAAGTGACTAGATAATAGCAAATTAAACATATTATATTAAATGCTAGTACATTTGAACAGAAACAATTAAATTTAGCTTATTCAGTCAAGTTGGTGGGTAAGTATATCAGTACATCTGTTCTTCTATGGAGGAGCAAACCAGGACTATAGAAGTTTCTATCACAATGACTTTCCTTGAGATCTATGCAGACACCTGACACTGTGGCCTACATACATGCATGCACATACTCAAGCACATACACAAATAATTAAAAAGTTATTTTTGTAAAAGAATACATGATAAATTTGCATAAGCGGTTCTGTTTAAAAAGAGACTAAAACCAGGCCACATATCCTCTAAAGTCTACTTAAAATTTCACTATTGGTATGAAGGTTTTCCTAGCTCTTATAGGATGAAATGATTTCTCCCTCTTCTGGACTTGTCTTAACAATCTTCTATTAAGAACTTATTATGTGCTAGGCATTATGCTAAGCACTGAGGATATAACAAAAATGAAAGGAGAGCACTTTCCATCATTCTGCATTTTAAGTTGTTCGTGTATATATATATATACATATGAACGTATATATATATACACACAAATGTATATATACTGCATTTTAAGTTGTTCATATATATGGAAAGTAAATATATATACACAAATGTATATATACTGCATTTTAAATTGTTCATATATATATGGAAAGTATATATATATACATATATGGAAAGTATATATATATCTATATACATCTATATATATCTATATGGTCTCCCTTAGTGGAAAATGAAGTTTTTGACAGCAGGAATCATGTCTTATTCTTCTTGGTATCTTATCCTTCTTCGGTGTCTAGGAAAGTATCTTGTACACAGCAGGTGTTCAGCAAATGTTTGTTGAATGAATGGATAAATGAAAGGAAAGGAAAGTTTAAAGTAAGGGAAAACTTACGTTCCAAAGTGACTCAAGAAAGCTGCAATGTATTCTCTTCTTTTATGATATCCCTGAATGACATACTGCACCTAAAAAAGAAAAAAAGAGGCAAAAGTGAAATAAAATAGGTAATATTTCCCCATTTTGAGTCTCCCTATCAGTGAACAACAGTCCACTGAAAAAAATACTTAGTTCTGAACTTTCCCCGCTGTGCAGTCAAAGATGATCTCTACCCTTTCCAGTTCTAAATTTCTCTAATTCTGGGGTCAGTTATTAGTAGACATTACTTTTTAAGAATGAAAACACATTCTTTACAGTGCCTTTACTATGAAGGGAAGAGAGAGATAAAGAATGCAAAAAATTTTTCTTCTATTGGCTAACACATAAGATTTCCATGGCTAAAGCTTATGCTAAATTAATTGAAGTAACACTGATAAAGTCAGAACTGATAGTTATGTTGTACCCTCAAAAAGTAAAACAATTCTATTTATAAAATAGGGTTTATGGCAATTTATAAAAAAAACACTGCTTACTTTGCAGGCTTAATGTAGGATCAAAAATGTTATTTTGGGAAAAGAAAACAGATGATAAGTTTGCTTAAGTGGTTTTGTTTAAAAAAGGGAAGAAAACAGCTCTGTGTACTTGATTTTAAAAACAGAAGATCATTTTAATAGAAACCCACAACAAAACTGGCTATAAAGAGATTCCAGTATAATTATGGAAATTCATTTGAAGACATTGTTTCTAAAAGCTGCCATGTACTGTCCTCGTTTGTGAAAAGCTAAGGAAAAATAATTTTAAAAGACAAGTAAAATTAATGAAATGGAACCAGATAAGAAAAACTGACTGATTCTTGTGTTTCTGGGAAAATAGTCTTATAATTTTTTGAGTAAAAAGTGTGACTAGAAATTAATCTCAATTGGAAAGCTTTAAAAAGGCCTTTAATCTCAGTTCTTGGAGGCCAAATGTGCATTTTTCTATATAACACAGTGACACAAGTTTGAGGGAAGGGCAAGGCATCTGAGTGCATATATGAATTTTGTCCTCATGTCAATTTTCTAGTAGGAAAGAAGGCAATGGGTACTGGGCTCAATTAAAACTAATCATGCCATGAGAACTAAATCCCATGGAGTAGATGCCAGTACCACAGATGCCAAATCTGAGTTATGCTGACATTTTAAAAAAACCCTTGAATCTTTGAGATATTGTCTTTAGGAAGCAGTTTTCTATTTAGAAATGGTCTATCTTTTGAATGACAGAAGCAATCAAAAGGCCTACTTTCAAATCCAATGTGAAAAATTCATCAACAGCAATTCAATAAGAGCAAAGGAGAAATTAACACTTTGGACAATCTGACCAATTGAATCACAATTAATGTAGAATAAAAAGTGAATCTAACATTTGTATGTAGATTAAGCACTCTGATCTTACAGAAAAATGTAATGGATAGACATTAATATTTATACTCTTAAAATGATAGTATACAGTTAAATACCATATTTAATCATTACAACAAAGTTTTGATTATCTGCCTATGTAATAAAGGCCTACTGATGTAGATAAAGAGAATGAATTAGGCTGTTTGGGGAAGACTACGGCCCCTACCCCTAGATAGAAGAGAATTGCTTTCAGACTACTTCTAGATAATTGAATAAAAACAGTGGATTTTTATTGGAAAAAAATGGATACATGTAAAACATGAACACAAAAAAGTAAAAATTCAGATAGATATATTTGGGAATCAAAGAGCAGACGTTAGGGAAGTAAAAGAAAAGCAAAAAGAAGAGGTTTTGTGCAAAAAATGTCAATTGGAAATTAGCAGTGAACATTGGATACTAGTGAAAACCCCCAAAATGAAGACCTAGGGATATAAATAACCCTGATGAAATGAGGAAGATCTCTGAATTACAAAATTTAAAAAAGGTCAAGATCTGGTGAGAATTACATAATGTGGTCATGATTTGCAGCTCAGTGATAAATGAAAACAGGAGATGGCAATGACAAGATGAAAGAGAACTGCATGACCAAGTCCTCAGAGGAGAAGAAAGTAGGGTCAGAGGGTAAATGCCTGTTCACAAGAATAGAGGATAGAAGTTCATGAAGTATAGTTACAATTAACAAAAGGCAGTGAGGAAAAACCTGAACTGGAAAGATGTGAGAAGGCTGAGGCATCTTGAGAGCTAGCAATGGATGGGAGAAACAAAGGCCCCTAAGGATTATTTCACAAGACAGAAGAGGAAGTGGTATTCACTTACCTTGTTGGTTAGTAGCTGGCATACTTGGGGAACATAATCAATTAGACATCCTCCTCCTGGAAAAGCTGGGATGTGAAGAGCTGAGGAACCTCCAAGAGCACTGAAAAGATAACAGTACATCAGATACTTCATTTCTCTTAGAACTCAAGCTATTTAAAAAATGATATCCTAAAGTCAACTCCTTTGATTATCCCTCAAAGTAACTGCTTCAGCTATGAGTCCCACTGTATTGTGGAATTCCTCATCTTTTTTTTTTACCCAAATAGGAATTACAACAATAATTATACATCTTAACTATAAACTTGTGTCTTTGTCACACAATAATACAAAGTCTCAATTTTAAAGGGCATTCATAAATATCTTAACAATATTTAAACTCTCTACATTTTATTGAAACATTCTGCTTTTCTTTAGTACCCTTGACGGGGACTGACGGCGATTAGCTCACGGAAGGTAGTCAAAGAACACTTGTTACATTGAATTGAATTGAACTGAGACAATGTAGCATCACGGAAAGAGCAATGGACTAAGAACTAGAAGACTGTTTGCCACTTAATAACTGTATGACTTTGGACAAATTACTAAATTTCTTGGCATTAGTTCATGCATATAAAAAGAAGTGTCTGAAAAAACCAGCATTTTCCAAACTAACCTAGGCACAGAACACTAAGGGGTTTAAACTCATTTGGACACAGAACAGTAAGGGATTTGAAGTACATTGGTATAATTCATAAATATCAGTCTATGGTCCTGGGCACATGGAATACCTTCTGAGATAAAGTGAACCTGGAGAAACTTTGGGGCAAAATAGAGAAAGTTCAGTCTATTTTATTTTCATACATAAACTGAAATGTGTAACATGCCTTTTTAGAAACTGTTTTGCTTAGTAGTTTATAGCTGGAATTCTTAACCTAAGGTTTGTGAATTTGTTTTTAAAGTATTTTGATAACTGTATTTCAATATAAATTATTTCCTTAGTAATTCTATGTATTTTATTTTATGCATTATTTTTTTCACTGAAAATGGGTCCACATGCATTACCAAACTGCCAAAGGGGTCCATAACACAAAAAGGCTAAGAACTCCTAATTTAGAGAGTGAAATGTCACCAACATTGACATTTCACAAAAGACCACTATTTAAAGTGAATAAAATACATTTGATGGAAGTCTGGGGCAGTGGACTAAATGACATATAAGATTCTTTCTCATTCTACACGCTTAGGATTCATAAAGTTAGGTGTCCAGAACGTTTAGATATAAAGTAATTACAGAAATATTTATCTAGAAGAGTCAATAATTCATTTATGCTATATTTCACTACCACTTTAATCACTACATGATTTTTAGTTCAATTAAATTCAATTATTTAATTCTTATCAAGTGTCTACTCTGTTCTAGACTGTATTGTGCTAGGGGATATGAATATAAAGACATGAAGTCCTTGACCTCAAGGAGCTTCTATTTTTATTGGAAAAGAAAGAGACAATTTCATTCACACACCTAACTGGAAGAAATGGCAAAACTTGACTAATGCAGAATTATACCAGCAGGGAAATTAACAGAAAAATTTGCCACTGAAAACCTTCTTTGATAGAAAAAGAAATTTAGAATTTCTTCTAATAGGAACATTTCAATATGTCACCCATGAACTTGAGCTTTAAACATTTTTGAATGGTTTTTGACTCTCAAACCAGGCTTCATGATTGGAGTTAAGACAATGTACTACTAAAATAATGATAGTTCTATCACATTCCTCAACAAATTTCTGACTTTTGAAAATGAATCTTCACATTTTAGCTAACAATGATTTGTTCATGGTACATAGAACAGGTTTAGGAGAGGAAGACAAATGAACAAGGAAACATTTTTTAATAACTTATTTCTTGTGACAAGCTCTTTTATAACAAGGTGTCTCACATTCATACATCAAGATAATTTAGAATTCTTTGGAAGATGTAGCAACAAAACTAATTTTTTTTAGTCTCCCTCTGACAATAAGTACCATTAAGAGGCATAAAACATCTCTGTGCATGGTGAAGTCCTCCAGAAGATCTTATTTGTAGATGGCATTGTGCTAATTGCATTAAGCCCCAAGATGTTGCAGAGATCTCCTGAAAGAGATCTTTAATAACCTGAAATAACATGACTTGTTCATGTACACAGGAAAGACCAAATGGATGAAGACTTCAATATGCATAGTTGGGATAGTGAATACAGTTGGACAAGAGTTGGGCACAGCTGAAAAGGTGAAAGACAACAGGCTGGCTTGCTTTTGGGAAACTGAAAAATTCTTTTATTAAATTCAAGTTATCCATGAAAGCAAAGGTCCATCTTTTCAATTAAACATTTTATTAGTCTTGCTATATATAAGTGAGACCTGAAATACTACTGTGTCCAATGAACTAAAGATGAGCATCATACAGAGGATGACACAGAGATACATGGTAGGTGTGAGCAGGCTACAATATATAATAAACAAAGAACTCTGAAGGAGTCAAAGACAATATCAAGAATTATATGACAGGAAGAGAAAATGAGCTGGTCTCCTGACAAGAGGGAAGAATGATAGAGGAATAACCAGAGTGCTCCAATGACACCCTGGTGATGTCAGGAGAAAGAATGGAGAGCCTTCACTATTTTAGGTGGGTTACTATGGTGAATTTTTGAGAGAATGTGGACAATAATAACACAAGGAAAGGCAGGCATGAATGGATTGCCATCTGTGTTGTTGGAGGGAACTCTTGAATTTGTGAGATCACAGATACATTTGAATATTTGAGTATTTTTTGTTCACGTATCAGAAAACATACCATTTTTGGTACATAGGATAATTATAAGACAGTATTTGAATGATTTCAAATTCATGAATTACTAAGCTTCATATGGAAGCATAAATGTCAATACATTAAAGATCGGCAACTGTGTTTTGGATGGGTAATTCTTCCACTGATGCATATCAAGACCCTTTGGGGACTTAATGGATATGGCCTCTGTGAGCTGCTATAGCCAAATAAATTCATGACCCTGAAGGTAATCTGTTGATTAAGTCTCTCCCAATTTAGGAGGGATGATTTTCTGAGGATACACATAAATGGCTGTTGATAGTGCAGTCCATCAGCCTATTTCTGGGCTCATACTCAAAGCTTTTCCATCTTGGTAAGAACTGCCAATGTTTGCACTCCACTGGCATAGCTTTTGGGAACTCAGGGACATCTCCACACTACCATGGAGCATTGCAATAGGCTTTGGCATACGATATTATATAGAGCTATGAATAAATTTTTTTGAAAAGTACAGCTACTACTCAAAACTTGAATACTAAATACTTGAATATAATGAATACTAGTATACCCTAATCTCTATATGACTAAAATAATGTCAAGATGAAGGTAAGGCCAACTTAACAGAGCAACATTTGTTATAACAAAATTCTAGTACAATAAAATAATTTGGATATCTCCTTGGAATTATCTGTAATGGGATATGAACTATTTCAAATATTTTGGGTTGTCTATAAACACTGGGTGAACTGCATATAAATGACAAAAATATCTTCTGATCAAGTAATTCTTTAAATCTAAGGAATCTTTGCCATTGCTTAGATGATATTATATTGCTCTGAAATAATAAGCTTTCTCTCATCAGTACTAATGGAAAGAAGCAACTATACAGAAAAGAAAAAAGAACTGATGTTAGACATTGTGCACCTGAAAGAGCCATGAATTTGAAATCCAAGAACTTGGGTTTGAATCCTATTTCTAATACAACTGTATAACCCAATCCAAGCTACTTTACCTCTCTGGGTCTCATCTGTAAAATAATCTTTCCAGTTCCTTTCAGCTCTAAAATCTATAGTAACAGCTCCCTTTCACAGTCAGGGGAGAACAAACAAGGGATAGAATAGACCACAAATGACAAAATATACAACTGCGATTATATGAAATTAATAGCTTCTGCATGAAGAAATCAATGTAGCTAGAAAAAGAAGGGAAACTCAGTTGGGGGAAAAAACCACTCTGCATCAAATACCTTTGATAAAGTTCTGATAACCAAGATGGGATTAGGTATATAGCGGAGGGAAGCAACAGTGATATTCTCTGTCACCTAGCTTTGTCAGGTTCCAAGCGGTGCCAAAGTGTTCCCCCCTTTACAGTTGTAGTGTCAGTATAGATAATCCAATATATACCTTCTTTTTCTGATACTCAGTCCCAACAACAGATCAAGAATTCTCAAGTGACTTATTCTTGTTCATACTTTTCATTATCATCTCCTCCACAAAGACATACACTCAAATTCGGTCAAATAGACCATGGACTGTGGTTAAGTCAGTGAGTTTTCTTTCATGTCTAATTTTGCATGAGTTAGATCATTTGTTTAAAGGATCTTAACGTGTGAGGCATTTCAGTTACTATGAAGAACTGTTTAACTGAGAGTTTATTTTTGAAAGGCCCTTACTTCATTCATTATTTAATTCAGTAGTTTCCTAGCCTATTAGCCTACTGAACCTAACATCCAGACTGTCACACACTGATAAGTACTGCTGACTCACATAAATATCTGCCTCACTAGTAAATATTTAACAAACTTACTATAGTTTGAATGTGGCTCTGATCTTGCTGAATAAACCAAGTAAAGCAGTATGAAACAAAAAGCACTAATGTGAGAGGTTTCAAAGGCTATGACATGAAAAAAAGAGAAAGAAATTGTGATTTTTATATGCTTAATATTAATGAATTGAAAGAAACATAAAGTTGGGTCAGAGTAACAGAACAAAAAGGCACACACATGGAGATTCCATGACCAGCCCAGTATTTGGCTCTGCTCTGAGACACAGAATTAAGTGGGGCAAAGGTAGAGACCGGAATACCACTTTATGCTACAAGTGGTGAGCTTCAGATGAAAGAAATAACTTGCTTCTTCTGATCTTCAGAGCAGTCAAGGGAAAAATGAGGAAGCTTCATGGGTGAAAAGGTGGGTGGAAGTTTGAGAAATGGAAAGGATGTATTCTACTTGGTCTGATGACGGAATGTGCTTCATATTATTCAGAGGGTATACGTGAGATGTGAAATATGACAATGATTCTTAAAGTAATTATTTGA